TAAGTGTGATATTTGTTGTTGGTTTTGGCAGATAGCTTTTATTAGGTTAAGGACATTCCCTTTTATGCCTAGATTCCTTAAAGTTTTTTTCTATAAACAGATGCTAAATATTATTATATGCTTTTTCTACTTCTTTGAAATAACTACTATACATAATTTTTCCCCTTAAATGTGTCCATGTGGTGAATTATATTAATTTTTACTGTAAAACCAAACAAGTTTCTGGAATAAATGCTACTTTATTTTGGTAAATTAAATATTTTATATATTGTTTGATTTCATTTGCCAATATTCAATTTAGAAATTTTGCCTTTGTTCATGGGAGAGTCCGACCTATAATTTTCCTTTCTTCTGTTATTATAGACTGATTGAAGTAACAAGGTAAAATCAGCCCCATTTTTTTTCCTCAAAAAGTTTGTATAAGACTGGAAGTATCTTTTCCTTGAAAATTTGGTTGAATTCACTTGTAAAATCCTCTTGATCTGGTGTTTACTTTGTGGAGAGAAACTGCTTATTATCAACCGCTGATTCAATTTTTAAGTGGTTATAAAGCTATATAGTATTTTATTTCTTCTTGAGACACTTGAAAAGTTACTTTTTAAATAAAACATATTCATTTTATCTAAATTTTCAAGTTTATTGGCATGTTTGTATATTTTAATGTAGATTTGTTCCCCCTTTTCCATAATGTTTGTGCTTTCTCTCCTTTTTCCTTAATTTTGTCACAGGTTTGCTTACTTTACTGATTACCAAATTTTGGCCTGTTGAATCTCCCTATTATTTTTTTGTCTTCTATTTAATCATTGCCACTCTTATTTTTCTTATCTTTTCATTTTTTTTTTTTAGTTTTCTGCTTTTTTCACTTCTTAAATTTGAACATATACTCTATTAATTTTAATCCCCTTTTCCCCCCAATATGAGTGTTTAGGTTATAAATTTACATTAAAATACTATTTTTGAAGAATGTCACTAGTATTGTCATTCTAATTCAGTTCTAATTCTTAACGTCCATCAAAATTTCTACTCTGTTCCATGACCTTTTAGTTTTTTTAATTAAAAAAAAAAGTCCATCAGAGGTTTTGTTTTGATTATTGATTTCCTAATATAGTTGCATTGTAGTCATAGACCATGGTCTGTATGAACTTCAATCTGAAGTTTATTGAGATTTACTTTAAGGGATAATACATAGTTAATTTTTTCATGTGTTCTTGAGAAGAATGGGTGTTTTTATATTATTTTATATTTTTTATCAAATAAAGCTTATGTTTGTTGATCAAATATTCCTCATTTTTAATGACTATTTTATTTGTTTCATCCATCAATGAAGATGATCAGTAAAGTGACAATATAATTTGTAGTCCAAACCAGAACATTTGAGAGTGAAAAAAGGCACAAAAATAAATAAGAATATATAATTGCTTGAAATATCTATTGACTGACAATTGTCTCAAAGGGACCTATGAAATCATTCTATTCAAAAACTGTTTAAAAAATTAAATTTTCTGAAAATTTAAAAACATTTATATTATCTAAACTTAAAAAATATAAGCAGAAAATCATGTTTAGCACATTTTTATACTTTAGTCCATTCCTAAGCTGAATCTATCTCTAATGCCATATCATTGATATTTTTCTGAAAACTATTTTTCAATCTGGTTTTATTATTTTTAAACAAAATTTCTTTCCAAGTTGCATTTTATAGTCAAATGACTTGGAATTGTAAACTTCTTCACTTAATTCTACTCTTAGTCCACATTTCAAATTGAGGATATTGTGTCTCTACAGGTGCTTAGGTATCAGGTAAGCTCGGACAAATTTTGCTAAAGGGAAGATATTTCAAATACATTTTGTTCGTATTGAAAACAAATATTTCAGCCCTAACATTTTCAGATACTGTCTTTTGCTTCCAGAGTACCTTTCTTCAATCCTTAATTTTTATAAGATGAAACTCATCTTCTCCATTTAAAATTTTTTTGAATGTTTCACCAAATTCTGATGCTACAAAATCATAGGTAATTTTATTCCTTCCTATTTTTCCCCATTTCATTCCTTTCTGACTCAGGATTCATATTTATCCAATTAAAAATAAGAGCTGCATCATAAGTTGAGAAACTGTAAAGCAAAGTTATAGAATTTCAAAATTAAATATTTTATCATATTTGAGCTTTCACTTATTTATTTTTAGTTTCCTTCTTTTTTAAGAGCTAAATTTAAAAAACAAACCTATTTGTGAGGTTTGTTTTCAGTCATATAATTCACTAAAAGCTTCAAAATTTCGTTTTTTTGCCACACCATTCATTAAATGAATTCATTAAAGATTTCCAACTTATTAAACAAAAGAAATAAAAAAATACAAGACTCATTTACAAAAAAAGTTCACTATTAATGAGGACACACAGGTTGATTTACAGAGCAGCTCTTCAACACTTTATATGCTTCTAATGTCTGCTTGATGATGGGTAACAAAAAAATTGCAGACTACTATGCTTACTTTTTAAAAAATTATTATTCAACATCAGCTTCTCACAGATATTTTGTTGTTTGATTACTCTGTGCATATATTTTTAAAACTGGCAAATTCTGTCAAAAGTACAATTCAAAATCACTTCACACTCATTAGCATGACTATTTTTTAAAAAGAAAAACAGAAAACAAGTGTTGGTAACGATGTAGAGGAATTGGCACCCTTGTGCATTGTTGGTGGGAATGTAAAATGGCGCAACTGCTGTGGAAAACAGTTTGGTGATTCCTCAAAACATTAAACATAGAATGCCCATTTGATCCAGCAATTCCATTTCTGGGTATGTCCACAAAAGAACTAAAAGCAAGGACTCAAACAGATATTTACATAGCAATGTTCATGGAAACGTTATTCACAACAGCCAAAAGGCAGAAATAACCCAAATGTCCATTGAGGGATGAACGAATAAACAAAATGCGATCTATATACACAAAAGAATATTACAAAGGAATGAAATTCTGATAGACACTACAATGGAGATGAAACTTGAGGATATTAGGTTAACTGAACTAAGCCAGGTATAGAAGGATAAATATTATGACTCTACTTACACGAGTTTCTTAGAGTAGTCAAATTTATAGAGCCAGAATCTAGAACAGTGGTTCCAAGAGCCTGGGGGAATGGGGATTTAGTGTTTAATGGGCACAGAATTTCGGTATGAGATGATGACAAAGTTCTGGAAATGGATGGCGGTGATGGTTGCACAACAGTGTGAATGTACTTAATACCACTGAACTATGCACTTAAAAATGGTCAAAATGGTAAATTATGTATATTTTACAATAAGTGGTTAAAATGATAAATTTAATGCATATTTTACCACAATAAACAATTTTTAAATTGGTAAATTTTAACCACTATGATCTCTATTTTAACTGACAGCTTGTTTGGAAATAATTGTGAATTATGTGTGCACCACCAATTTCAGGTACACTTTTGCTCTATAGGGTTTTTAGGATGAACACTTTTATCACAATATGTATTCATCCAAATTTATACTCATATTGTCAGTACAAATCATTTTCTTCAGTTGAATCTCAAAACTGAATTTAGATTAGTTTTCATTATAATGTCAGATGTTTTGCCTTTGAAAGAATGAACTTCCAAAGGTTTTGCTTTTTTATAAATTGGCTGAAAAATAAAAAGGCAGAAGGATCTTTTCTTAGCTTCCTTTTTAGAAATGAGTTTATCTTTCTATTTGAAGCATCTGATATAATACTGGCATCCTCTAACTGTTTTCAGAGTTTTCCCATAGAGTCAGTACATGAATAGCTACCACTCCACTTTTTATACATGCACAAGAAAACTTGGAATTGAAAATGAGTGAAAGTAATTTAAAAGAACTCTGATTCTTTACAGAACGCTGTAAATGTACCTTCTGCCACTGCACATCCTAATCATCATCTGGAACACTTTTCTTAAAATAACTGGTAACTGTGAAGTAGATGATTTTTGCTTCTTTACAAAGTTTGTCTTAGTCGTGTTTTTGCTGGAAGAGATCATTGTTCTCACTTTGCGCCCCGCCTCCCCCCCGCCCCCCCCACCCCCGCCGCCATGGTAGGTGGTTAACATGAACAAACATTTTATGCAGGTTACTAGTCTATCATCAATCTTCTTGAGAAACAAAAATATTCGATTTTTAAAAATTAAACATGCACTTTCATTTATTGTAATTCTTATTGCCTTGACAGTTCACTGCAGAAGCCTTACGACACATGTCCTCAATGGGCAACTTGGTTTATGGATAGATGTGATGGTAGCCCATTCCTACACTGTTGTAGCTCTTCTAAGGCATAGGTTGTACTTTGTGCAGTGGCCTTCGTTTTAGCTCTCCACTGTGCAAGGCCTTAGTGTTAGCCAAGGGGGAGCCTTCTCTAATTCCTGGGATAGGCACAGCCCTCAAGGCAGCCCATGGCTTCAGTGCATGGTCATCAGCCTGGTTTCTGCTTCTGTCTCTGACCCTGGAGTTTCCTCACTTTCTTATAAATTCGTCTTAAAATAAGATGTTGTCTGTTCTCTGTAAAATGGAGATGAGGATGATGATGATAATATCAGTTCCATAGAGCTAATATATGTAAAGGATTTGGAACAGTACCTGGCAAATAATTAGTGTCATAACAGTATTAGATGTTAGTCTTTATACAGTATTTCTATGTATTTATTGCAGAAAAGTTTTTCAAAAATTTGAGTCCAGTACATTATTGGATATGGAGCATGTTTTTGTATTTTATAGCACCTATTATAAGTAACTTTTATATTAAATTGTTTGGGTAGGCAATTTACCACTGCACTATTGTATATGTAACTGTACCTTCCTGAAGCCACATAAATAACATTTATGTATCTTAGAAAAATGTTATGTACATTTATAAATATATAAATTTTATGTAAGCTATGATTCAGCAGTTTTAAGTCTAAAATCAGCAAAGGGATCTGGGTCACCAGTCTTTCCTTACTATAAAAAATAGCACAAAATTGCTTACTTTTAAATTTAAGAGAAATTTTATTTTTATTGGTTAAAAACATGATTGTTATGTAATATGTACATGAAAATACCTTAAAATATTTGGATACTTTAAATATATATTTTGTGGTACCTCATATCCTTGATATAAAGTTATAAGTTTAAAACAGTATTATACTCATTGATAATTACCAATATTTTGATTTTGCTGTACTTTTCATTAGAATTTCTGGGCCACTTCATATTAAGATTCTCAAAAAATAAAAGGTGACAATACTCCACTAAATAAAAGCAATTTGGGGGTGAGAAATGGAAACTGTCTAGGAATGTACAGCCAAACCACAGTATAATGTTTGTTATAAAGTTCTTTTTTAGTTTAAACAATTCTTAAAATTCCCTTTCAAAATGCATACTGAGCACACGCTTTAAATACATATCTTAAATACCTTAGACATATTTTTCTTCTTTTACCACCCCCTCTACCACCAAAAAAAAATCTTGGTGAAATAGATAGTGGGTGTGTGGTGACAAGGTGCTTTGAACACAGACTATATAAAAGATTTGGTTTGCCTTATTTCTTCAAAGGAAAGCAATTAGGATAGAAATATGTGGACTGCAGCCTACATAACTGCACCTTTGTGGAAGCTCATTTTGTAGGAATATATTCTGCATATAATGTTTAAAGACCTTTTCCTGGCCAAAAAATGCATCGTGCTCATTGTAGAATATTTGGAAAATATAGAAAAGTGTGAAAAAGAAAATAAAACACCTGTAATCTTACCACATAGAGATAGCTACAGGTAATATTCTGGTGTTTATTTTTTGTCTTTTTTCTAAGCATACAAAAATATAAACATATACATATAAAATGTGACTATATTTTCTACAGAATTTAATATCCTTTTCTTTACTCTTTTCCACTGGATAAGATGGTCTTGAGTTGTCTACCCATCCCCTTATATGTTCTTCATATGTTCTTCATAATTTTAATGGCCAAAAAAACATTTTATGGGATGAATTTACCCTAATATAAAATATGTTTACAATGTTATAGCTTTTAAAGTTTTATTTTGTATAAATAAAATTTTACTTTGTATAAAATTTAAAAGCTATAACACAAATGTTTTTGACAACTGATGCCTCTCAGCATGCAATTCAATGGGTACACGTCTCTCCATTTTCATAATTCCTCAAAGACTGGGCAGAGCCAACAAATGAGACACTGTACCAGGATACTACACTCCAGTATTTCAGGCCATATCTCAAGAGTCCACCTGAAAGTGACAGAGTCTGTACTGTCACACGTGGATAACTGAAGGTCTGCTTGTGAAGTCTACATGCTGAACTCCTACAAGCTGTAAAACAGAATTGATGGGTTTGTGATCCAACCTATTCCTATCACGGTGTATAAAATGGATGTTGTCACCTGGAAGACAGTAAGAATAAAAGGCAGAGGTTGGCATATAGTATTATCCATTAGATTTATCATTTACTAGAATCAAGGAAGCTTTTCGACTTTTAATTAGTCCGAAGGGAAAAATTAATTATCCGGAGTACATTATACTCTCTATATAATGCCATAATTTCTAATTAAGGTAATAAAGTGTGACAAGGATATGGTAAAATAAGAGTTATACTTCGTGTTTTATGAGATTCAAGGGGAAAGATTCTTAAATTATAACCTTCTATTAGGTTTTATTCAATGTAATTAAATAAAATGTCCTGTCAAACAGACAGGCAAAATATGGAACTAACATAGATACAAGCTGGAAAATCACATCTGTTTCTTAAACATAATAATGGAAAAAATCACTCCCTTAAAAAAATTTACTCTTACATACTGATTTAATAGGTTATCTGCATTATAACCATAGACCAAAAGAGGCTGAAAAATAAGGACATTAAGACAATCGGAAAGTACTTAGATGTCTACAGTTCTTTTATCTGTGCAAATAAAAAAAAGTCATAATTTATAGTCTGGGTTCTGTTTACTTTGATACTTTGGAGACCAAAATTTTAACTTAAAACATTATATTAAGTAAACATTATTAGAGATATATTTTCTGCATTTTAATTATCTACAGTCATCTGATATCTACAGCCATCACTATAGATTTAATATCATAAATTAGCATAATTATCAAATAATTATGCAAGTAAGGCAAAATGAAATGCCAGGTTAATCATGATACAGATTTGTATAAATAAGTACACCTAGCTCTTTCCTTAGAGGAGCTACATTTTTTTCCAGTGGTATCAGAATGTTCTTCCTTATTAAGTATGTTGTCAACTTGGCACACAAATGACACTTCCCTGTGCTCTTCACTTTTAAAAAACTGGAATGTGCGTGGTCAAATGGTGCTGAGACATGGAAATGAGGGACTCAAAAAACAACGCCTTCTGGGTCTGAGGATGGAAATAAGTCATTCAGAAGTATGGCTCAATTTCGTTCTGAGCTAATTTATAGGACTCATTCTCATAAAATGGGGCTTTATTTTTATTTTTTATTTTTTTGGCTAATCTAACCAGTAAATTCATGAGACAGAGGGAAAGGGAGATTAAATACAATGACAGATTTTAACTAGCTATAGTGTTCCAGATGCGAAAAGCCCAAAAGTCATAATGCTGGTTAAATTCTCCTTCTAAAGATTTCCTTTTAGACATCTGAAATTTATTAAAGTAAATGCAAATTTTAGAACTCTTAGAAGCTAAGCTCACTAACATCATCAATTTTAAAGAGGAAGAAAAAATAGTTTACAACATAGTGATTTAGGCTTTTTGGCACTGTCACATATGGGTGTTTGTCCCTGACTGCAATACTTGAACATGCTAGAGATTCAACACTCATCCATTTAGCAGAGTGGAGCCAAAGGAATTTCAGGTGGTCCAAACTGATCAATAAAGCTATTTAAAGGATGTGGTTTATAGTAATTGAATGAGCTGTCCCTGGGGCTGACTTGCTTTCTGACACTGAGGAAGTCTCCTAGTTTTATTATATATAACTAGATTGATTCATCTATTGACTCCCACCCCCCCAAAAAAAGTACTCGATGATTCTCTATTTAGACACGTTCACCTCCAGTGAACTTTTTCAAGAGTGTTATAGCCACATACAGTTCACCAAACCACCACTTACTTTCCTTATCACAAATACCTGAAAACATTTGGGCATGAAACGATGGGCATGTTACATCCAATAAACAGACAACGAAATATACAGAAGTCCTTGAAAACAAAAGATGCCTCCTACGAAAGCATAGCATCCTGATTGTACAATGTCAAGCTGCCCATTTTTACATGGTGGCTATTTTATGAAGAAAGTTGGTAGCCGGCCTCTGGGCTTCTAAAAGGGATGAGAAGTGTCCTGCGGGGTCTAGGCTTTCATGCTTACCTGGACCTAAAATGAGAGTTCCGCCTTGCTGAATTGGATCTCCTTGAAAATCAAAAAGAGGGCCAGTCACTGCCCGCCACAGGCTCCAAATGCTTCCTGAGAGTATATTTGACTTTATATGAGGACTCTGTCCTGAAATATTAGAAACTGTCTTTAGAGGTTATCATTTTATATTCAATTAGGTATTAAAAAGATAATGTTAGTACTTCTATAAAATATTCTCTTTCTTGTGTGTCATATTACTTTCAACTTTTTTTTTTCTCCCAAGAACGGTTTCCCAGACTTTTACTGACATTTTAGATGAGTAATTCTATGTCCTGTGCAATGTAGGTTGTTAAGCAGCACCCTTGTCCTCTGTGCCCACTAGATGCCATAGCACCCACCACCCACCAAGTTGTGATGACCAAAAATATCTCCAGACAATACCAAATGTTCCCTGGGGGGACAAAAAACTGTCTCCACCTGAGAACTGCTGTTTTAAAGGAAAAAGTGATGAGAGACCCAGATCATTTCATGCCACAAAAAAATATCCGCTACAGTCTTCTCAAACTGGTAGTATTTTCCTTTTTAATTCCCCATTTATAATTCCCCAGTTGTTTAATTCCCCATTTGTTTAGTTCCTAACTTACAAAGAGGTAGCTAAACTCCTTCTCAAGAGACATTGTGGCACACAGACTGTTATATGCTTGTCAAAACCCGTTTCCTCTTTCTGGGCCCACAGCCAAACTACATTTCCCAGTCTTCCTGGCAATTTAGTATGGTATGTGACTAAATTCTAACCAGTGAGTAAAATGATGTGTGCCACTTTCAGGCCACCTCCTAAAAACCTCTCACAAGTGACTCTCCATGTTCCCTCTACAGAGCTACAAGATGGAAGAGGCCTGAGTCCTTCCATATTGTGTCCCTGAATTACTGCTTAGGGGAGAGGCACCTGAACAGCTATACCTTTCTTGAAATGTAAAAGAAAAAAAAGGAAACTTTGACCACGTTATGCAACTGAGACTTTGTGATTTGGCTGTAACTAATATAGCTATCTCTCCATCTTTCCTTGGCTGTCAGTTTTTCTGTTTCCTTTCTCACAGAGACTGTTATTTCATGTCTGCTCCTTTGGAGTGAAGAAACTCAGTCACTCTACCCTTCTTATAACTTATCTTTCTCCTATCCCTGCCTTTTATGACTTGCTTTTTAACTTTTTATTTTGATGATTACGCTGTCTTTGACCTGCTTGATTTCTTAATATTTCCAGATATCTATAATTTCCCTTCATTTCTTGAACTCTTCTAGTTCTTTCATGTTTACATTAGGATGGATATTCATCTTACCAAGAAATAAATACAGGCTCATTACCTTAGAAACACGGGGAAAAGACTAAATTTTACTGTTTTATAGGATTCTATAGCTAAAATGAATGTTCAGAAATCCAAACAATCTCCTTATGTTCAAAGGAGTCATCTGATATTTTTCATGTTAAAAATTCAACTGAAGGAGATTCCATAACCTAGAATTTAACAATCTTTGCTGTGAAGCACACTCTAATTTTGCCAGCTTGAATTTAGTTCTCATGTATAAAATTCCTGTTTTTCACTTTTTTTCCTGTTTACTTTGATTCTTGGACTCAAGACCAGACTTTTAAGTTAAAATTCTAGGTTAAGTAAATATTATAAGAGGCATTTTTTTTGCACTGTACTTATCTTCTGCCTGTAGTCATCATGTAGATTTAATATTGTAAATTAGCTTATTATCAAATAAGGCAAAATGAAATACTACGGGAGAAAGCCATTGCTCCCTTGCATTTAATGGCTGTATTTTCTTCTTCTTCTTCTTTTTTTTTTTTAAAAAAAATGCCCCATTAAGTTAAAATAATAATATATTTTTAGTCTGTTAATTTTCAAGTAGGACTATTCAGAGACTGCTTCTGAGATTTATGCTGTTTTAGGGAGGAACTTAAAACAATTAGTTTATGAGAACCTAATATTTTGTTTGGAAATACAGTACTTTAACACAAGTCAAAGGAGCTTAAAAGATTTGAATATACCCTCTCTTATAATCACACGCATATATTTTGTTTAGAATTCATCTGTTTCTTTGCAATTCCATATCTTTATTATGGCAATGAATGGTGAGGTGTGACAAAAGAGAAACTCACAGTTTGTACAGAAAGTGCTAAATGATACAGAGACCTTACACATGCTGAGACTCTGTTACATCACAGGAAATCAGTCTACCAAAAAGTAAGGTCCACAATCCATACTGTTGCAATTTCCTACACTAAAGAGAGAAAAGAAAGAGCGAACTGTGTTTATGCTAGATCATCATTTGTTTTAATAAAGTTTAGGTTGTTTTCTTTAAAACCATCAGTAAAGGGATCATGTCAGTTCTCCTGCTTCCATTCCCTCCTTGCCATCCATTGCCACTTCAGGCCTTGTCATTTCTTTCTAGCCTATTACTACAACTGTGTTGTCACTGGCTCTGGCTGGAGGGTTCCAATTTCTCCTCCACACTGGATATGTAAGTGTATCATTGCTCTACTTCAAATACTTTATAATTCCCCTACTGCCTCCAGAACAAATCCAAATTCTGTGGCATGTCAGCCCAGATTCGGGATGAATTGGCCACAACCTCTCTCTTGGCTCACACCAATTCTCCAAGTGGTCCCTAGATTCCAGCCAGATGCAGGGAACTGCATTTCTCCAAGAGTCACGTTTTTTTCATGCCTGTGTGCTTATACATGTACCACTTTTCTGTCAGCAGCACCCTTTTCCAGCCTCGCTTCACCCAGTTAACTCCTTTAAGAGTGAGCTTAGATGAAACCTCTTCTGAGAAGCCTTCCTAGATCCTCTTTCCCCTCGCATTTCTCGCATAGGTATTCCCAGAACATGCTCGTCTCTAGTACAAGTCCTTAAACTGGGATTGTAATAAGTTGTTTGCTTCTGTCTCGCAGAGTAGATTATGAGCTTTGGGATGGTAGGCGCTGTGACTTTTATCACTACCCTCTGGAGAGCATCCAACACAGTTGGGGGTCACAAACAAGAGCTCAATAATATTTGTTGAGAATGAATGATTTGAGTTCTAGTTGAGTCCTCTTATTTGGCATTTCAGAAGTCAAGTTCTTTCTACCTAAAACACACACCAACAGTTTACCTAAAGCTTCTTAAGCTCTATTAATTATAAAGAATTGTGCTAAAGGCAGGGAATGTAGACCACATAAAGATGAATAAAATATGAAACTCTTCAACTAACTATACTACTCAGCCACTTTATATGCAATGAGGGAAGCAATTACTTCTGCTTGAAGAGCTATGAAGAGCCCCTTAGAGTTGGGCTTCAAATGAAAACTAAGGCTTCATCAGTTAAAGAACATAGAGTATTCAAAGTCATGATGTTGAGGTATGAAAATATATAGGCTTAAGCAATTATTTTTCTTTTTATGACAAAAGGAAAATGTACTAATTGTAAAACATATAAAAGTCACTTTTCTCACTTCTACTCCTTGGGATAAGCACTGCAATACCTTTTAAAACCTTTCCCATTATACATACACATATATACACTACAGATTTTTGTTTATGAAATGGTTTTTATTTTCACAAAACTGAAATCATACTGAAAACACTGTCCTGCACCTGCTTTTTAAATTCATTTAATGCTTCACATGTCATTATGCTTTCCATGTCATTATGCCCAGGAAATGAGTCTTTTAGACTCTGGTATATCTGGTCCACTTACTAGAATCATAAAAAGCAGTCTGATTTATGAATTTACCATTTGTTCCTCCATGCAAATATTAAAGTACACCATCAGCATTTTCTCCTCGAGCCATGTCATATGTTACCTGAGGAGGCAATTTCTTCACCTCTTTTCATTCCCAATCTTTTATAAATTTCTCTCTCAGGATCAACATAGATTTCATGAGAATACCCAGTCAGTTTGCAGAAAGGCTACAAAAAAAGAATATTTGTAATTTTAAAAAATGAGAGAAAGTAATGATGATCTAACTTTAGTAAATTTAACCTACACGTAGTGGTTCAAATAATGTAATTTTTATGTCTGAAACAGATTTAATCTGTTAGTTTTCAATTTGCTATATATTTACCTCAATATGACGATAGGATGACTGTCCAATTACTATAAGGGTGACATTTGCCTCCTTGAGGAGAAAAAAAAGACATGTACGTACTATTAGAAATTATGTTTTCTACCACTTCCCCTTATTCAACTCATTTGTTCCATTCTAATACCATCTATAGGCTTCTAGAAGAATGAAATAAACAGCAAAATGTGTGAGTCAACGCAAAGAAATGTATGTATGCTAAAATGTTTAATTCAGATGATCTTTTGCTAAGAACTTTAAAATAATATAATCAATAATTCTCTATGCTCCCCCCAAAGGTGTACATTAAAAAAGAATAAAAATTATTAAAGTAAGGTTATTTAATTAAAGTTTTACCTTTTCACAACTCAACTAATAAGTTATGCTGAAAATAGTTCTGAGTTTTACAAAGGCGGTGCCCAATGACTTCACTCAAAAGCTTACCTGTGGACAAACCTCTATGTGCCTTAAGAAAAACATGTATTTGGTTGTCATAGGAATGTGGAATGTGTACCCTATTACAAATACAATTTTTCATCTTTAAGATATGTTAGTATTTTCCTATAATGAACAACTATTTGGAGTGTTATTATGACAAAAATAAATACCAATAATTTCTAGCACTTGTGTTTTTGGTCACTGTCATTAAACATTTGTAAATACGAAGGTTACTAGGTAGAATCAAAATTATTGCTATGGTTAGCATGTTTATAAGCAGGCAGTAACCAATAAACTATGATGGAAATAGATCTCTAACGTGTCTCTCCGCTTTTTGGAGGTGCCAGAAAGAGGTGTGAGAAGGTGATAATCTGAGTTTGTGAGTGTCTGCGTTGTACAGGCGGCTCATTCAGCACCTGAACCCCCTGCACTTCTTATAAATGGCCGGTGACTTTCACAAGGTCGCCCTGAAGCAGGGCCCAGTGCTGCTCACTCTCAAGGAACTTACTTGCAAGAAACTCTTGGGGATTTTGGCTAGATCTTCTACGTATTCCTTGCAGATGTAACACAGGAAATGCTGAAAATCCCAACATGGCAAAAGAAAAGAAAAGAAAAGGAAAAAAAGAAAAACAAGTTAGTAACTAATACCGTCAGGGGCCAGAAGAGACCAAGTACTCGGTTACGCGTCACTCTAATAAACAACTCAACACCCAAGTTGGGTAGAAAAAAGAGGTCAAGGGCACCGAATACGCGTTACAACGGGGCCGCGCCCAGTCCCGGCTAGGCCTCCCGGCTTGCTGAGGAAACGGCCTTGGCTTGGCTGGCTATTTGTCCATTCGCGTTCCAGGAAGCGAGAGGGGCGCTTTGCATTCAGGACGCCTCTAGCGGACAACGAAGGGCAGAGCCGGACGGACACTGCTCTTGGACCCGCACCCTCCCAGGGCCCCGATGTATCCCACAGCGGAGGCTGTGGAAGCAGGCAAGGTCCCCGGGTCCGGGCAGCCCCGCCGCCCGCGCTCACCCGCACGAAGACCACGACGGCCCTGCGCTCGCGGAACAGCTCTCCGAACTGCACCGGCCTTCCGGACGCGTCCAGCACGGGAAGCTCGGCCACGGCGGCGGCCAGTGGTTGCCCGCGCTCGGAGCCCAGGGACGCGCTCGGGACCAGGGCCGGGCCGGTGCTGCCGCACCTGCCGCGCGTCACCGGGGCCAGGGCGGGGGCGGCCATCGCGCTCTGCATCCGCGGGCCCGGGTTCGTGCAGACCAGGTGCAGGCGGGGCGCACAGAGGTGCAAAGCCGGTCCCCACCGTGGTGGGCGAAACCCGCCAGGCTTTTTCCCCAGGGACGAGCTCGGGACCAGGGCCGGGCCGGTGCTGCCGCTGACCTGCCGCGTCACCGGGGCCAGGGCGGGGGCGGCCATCGCGCTCTGCATCCGCGGGCCCGGGTTCGTGCAGACCAGGTGCAGGCGGGGCGCACAGAGGTGCAAAGCCGGTCCCCACCGTGGTGGGCGAAACCCGCCAGGCTCAAGGGACCCCGCGCAACTCGGGCGGGGGAGGCGGGGCTCAAGGGGGCGAGCCCCCGGGGCGGGGCTTTGCGGGGTCCCCGCCCGCCCCGGCGCAGCTGCGGGGTGCGGACAGGCTGGGCCGCTCTGGGTTTGGCTGAACACCTCCAGCCGCTCTGAGGTGAGACCCTGCAAGTCTTGGTTTCTACGCGGCTCCGCAGGTCGCGGTGCTGCCGGGAGGTGCAGATCGCACTGAGCGTTCCTGACTTAACCACTCTGGTTAGGAAGGGAGGCTCCGAGGCGAGAAGTGTTATTTAGAAAGAAAGCAGGCCCTGCCCTCCGTAGCCGCTTGGGCTGTTAGTTCTTACCTATTCAGAACTAGTTAGCTATGTATAAAGAATTTTTTTTTACCCCAGACAACCATGTCTAGCATCCAATAGATTTATTTTACCTTATATTCCTTTTCAAACCCTTTTCTCAGTTCTGTCCTCCCGTCCTTTTTTAGTCATAATTAACAGACAGTGTAATGTACAGATCTTAAGTATAAAGTTAAATTTTATTTTTAAATTGAATTTTTAAATATTTAAATTAAAAATTTCCAACATTTTATCATGGACATTTTAAAACATGGCCCCAAAATTGAAAGAATTTCACAGTGAACACTCTTATTCATCACCTAGATTCTATCTTTAACATTTTATGCCGCTCCGTCACCTGTGTAAACATGTCCACAGTCAGGTAAGTTTTGCCTGATTATTCACCTTTGTTATCCACATCTTATGAAAATATGGAACGTTTTTATCAGTGGAGAAAATTCCCCCAGTTCTACTAAGAGCCAGTGTAATAAACCTATTTTAGGAATGTACTAGGGTGTTTTCAAGAGCCCACTTTTTTTTCCCCACACATTTTTTAGCTACTTATCAGACCCCCTCAACTGCGATAACCCGTGCGTGTACGTACGTGCATATGTGCATGTTTGCGTGTGTGTAAATGTTGGGATTTGAGGGATGAGGATGTTGGAGTTAGATGGCTTGGCATCAGTTTTGTAGAAGTCACACGGTAGACACATACACATAACAGGTAGTCTTTTACACATGCTTTCTGATTCACCTCAATTTTTTTTAGGGCAGGCTGCTGGTAGGCAGCATAGGGGAATTTAGAATTTTCTGCAGCCTCTGAGACCCAACTGGTCCTAGAGTTGGAGGCTAATCTTACACTGGGGTTTCTCATGGATGATGACTGTTCAAGATTTCCCTGGCAGAACCAGACAGCAGTCAGGCTTTGTCTTCCTAAGTTCATCCACCCTTATATCTGGTTTTGCGATTCAGAAAATACGATCCTCTGTGTGTGGTATTTGTCCAATTGAAGCTCTTTAGAGTCACCTATATCAAGGGCTGAGTGCTGGTGAGGTATATGTGGCCAGTGTCACTCTGCAACAATGCACATGGGAGACTGATCCTGAATCCTCTGGCTTTCAGTTGTGTGAAGATGTACACATTATTGGACACATTTAAGGGCTCTCAATTCGAGAAGCCCTGCAGTGGGTTTAGACATTTTAAAGTTTGGATCTGTTTCTAAATCAAGATACAACAGGTGTTGGGGTACCACAGTGCTCTTACAGGGGCACAGCAGGATGTTTTGAATATCTGAGGGAAATAGAGATCATCCATCTGACATTGTGCACGTGAGTAGAGATAGTTTACGATTTCACGTTACACTACATTTTTCTTCCAGTATATTTTTGTGAATGACATCATATCTTTGCAAAGCTGGGTTTTTCAGCAGTGTGATAAAAAACTAGAAGTACACAAAAATCATTTTGGAACAAGAAATGAGGTTGGCGAGACCCAATCTAATTCCAAAGTTTGAGAAGTTGCGTAGTGCCCAACAAGCACACACATCCTGGAATGAAATAAAAGTACAAATTTTTCTTGTAATTCATAAGTATAGCCTCAAACAGCTACTAAGTTGTCCAGACATAAATACTTATTAAGTTGTCTGGATCTAATTTCTAAAGAAATAGAACTGATAGGAATTTCTTTTGTCCTAAAGCTACTGTGAATGAACCACTGAGTCACTTGTGAACCAAGAAAGTTTGGAAACTTCTGAATTAGATGGTAAGCTCCTTGCACTGTAATATCTTCACAGGCTGGCACAAGGCCTGGCATATCATAGGCTTCCATGAATGTTGTTTAATTGGTGAGTGCATGGAATGGCCTAGAAATGGTGATGCTAGGAGAGCTTTAACCAGCCAGTGTGGATAATGAATGAGCACAGGAATCATAGTGCTCCACAGGACTGGTGCTTTCCACTGGCTGAAACAGGTAGGGCAGAGCTCAGAGGACACATCCAACTTTAGTCTGGCCAGTCCATTGAAATTTATCAGCCTAACACCCAGCCAGCTCTATTCACATTAATTCCATTCACATTATTCCAGAGATGAGCCTCACCTGATTGTATTTCCTTGGCTTAGTTGCCAACCACTGACTCAAACCACAGTTTTCATATTGTTCTCTCAACAGCTGCTCAAAGTTCCCCAAAACTCCCTGGTTGAACCCGAGAATATGTTACTAATTCATTAACTTTTCCAGCCCAGTTTGAATACCCTGACTGCTTAACTTTTAGTTATTTGATGCACTGCACACTTTATTTATTTTTTTTAAAATAAGTGTTTGTAGAATGTTCCTTATTGTAATTAAATAATTATTACAGGAATACCTCGGAGGTGTGAATTTGGTTCTAGACCACCGTAATAAAGAGAATATTGCAATAAAGTGAGTCACACGATTGTTTTTTGTTTCCCAGTGTATATAAAAGTTATGTTTACACTATACTGTAGTCTATTAAGTGTGCAATAGTACTATGTCTAAAAAACAATGTGCATACCTTAATTTAAAATATTTTATTGCTAAAAAATTCTAACCATCATCTGAAGCTTCAGTGAGTTGTAATCTTTTTTCATTATTATTGTTCGAGATATTGCGAGAATTACCAAAGTGAGAAAATGCTGTTGGAAAAATGGTGCTGATAGACTTGCTCGATGCAGGGTTGCCACAAATCTTCAGTTTGTAAAAAAAAAAAAAAAAAAAAAAAGCAGTATCCGTGAAGCACAATAAAGTGTAGTGCAATAAAATAAGGCATGCCTGTATTTGTTTCTTGTCCATTCCTTAGGAGGACTATAAGCACCCTGAAAACAAGGTCCACATCTATCTTGTTCTTCATATGTCCAGAATCTATCAGAGTCTGAGACAGAGAAAGCACCCAATAAGTATTCATGAATGGATGAACTTCTTTATGCTTGTCCTTAAATTGTCCTCTTCCACTTCTCCCTCTACCTGTCCTCCCTACTCCTCAGCCTTTCATTTTTTCCTTTCCTTCTCCCCCACTGTTTCTGGAATGCTGTTATCACCCACAGCACACCTGAGTTCTGCAGCTGTATCTCGAACTGAAAATAGTGCATTACTGGTTTATTCATCTCTACTGCTGTCACTAATGGATCTTGGCTTTCCTGAGACAAGAAATGTAGCTTTCAAGGGGTTGCTTCACCAAGAAGTTACTTTGGCTGAAGGGGCCAATATAACTTAACAGTCTTTAAATAGGGCCTTGCCCAGAGAAAGGCAGAGTTAAAAGGTTTCATTTCACTTTCTTTGTCTAACTATATGCTCCTAAGAAAGAGGACAGAATAGTAAAAAGCTATCTCTGAGAGACAACTTTCAGGTTTTATCATTAGCTGTTAATAATTAGTATCATAGAATATAATATTAAGAGGGGAAATGAAAATACACAGATAATCGAGGATTTTAGAACTGGAAGAGGTTTTAGAAACAACTTAGATACATGGACATAAGGAATCTGACCCTGTGAGGGTAGCTCACAAGTTCAAGCCCAGCTCCCTTCAGGCTCAGTCCAGTCCACTGACTGATGTCCAGGTTTCATTCCAGCAGGTGCCTGCTTCTTATAGCATCTTCCCACGATTCCTTCCTATAATGGGGACAATTATTCTTCCTAAGTCACTTCTCCAGATGGAGGTGAGAATCACCAAGGGAATGTACCAATGTTGGTTTTTAAATCACAAAATGCCCTACATTGATAAGGCATTATTATTACAACGAAAGAATTTCTAGAAAGCTTTAGACATCAGAAAAAAAAAAAATAGAGGGACATTCTACAAAATACCCAACCAATATTCTTCAAAAGTGTTAAAGGTTATACAAAACAAAGACCAAGAAAGCTTCATGGGACATAAGGAGTCATGACAACTAAATGCAGTATGGTATCCTGAATTGACTCCTGGAACAGAAAAAGGACATTAGTGGAAAAATATAAAATCTGCATAAAGTCCATACTTTAGTTAGTTGTACCAATGTTAATTTTTAAGTTTTGACAAGTATATCATAGTTGTGTAAGATGTTAACATTAGCAAAAGGTAAGTAGATGGTAAACAAGAACTCTATACCATTTTGCAATTCACCTGTATATCTAAAATTAGTTCAAAATGAAAAGTTAAAAAAATGTTCTAGAGTCCGAATGACTATACAGAAAGCATGAGTACAGCCACAAATGATTAGTACAGAATACGTCTTATTCTGGTTTGGATGTTTCATTTGGTTACTCTCAAATGTATTTGTTTTTCAGTGTACTAGTTGCAGCGTATTGTAGTTTCCTTTACACTTTAAGCTTTTTAAAGATACGAACTGTTTCATGTAAACTGCTTAATCTCTTTACTGGGGATGTAATAGGCAGAACTGTTCACACAGTCAACAAATATTTACTTAGTAACTTCTCCGTGTCAGGCATTATTTTAGAAACTAGAAAGATTAAGATAACTAAAACAAGCCCAAGGCAAGGACCTGACAATCTAGTTGAGAAGATAATCTCAGAATAAATAGTTGGGATGAAGAGCAATCAATAATATAGCAGAGATATGAATAAGGTATAGTGAGAACCTGTATCACTTATGATGCTTTTGGTTTCAGGTAACAGAAACCCTTGACTCAGTCTTGTAACATAAAAATATTTATTATCTATCATAAAAAGAAATTAAGGGCCAGGCCATGTTCTAAG